AAGGGCACAGGCAACCTGTTTCAAACATGGAAGCCTGCTGGAAGCATAGCCACATATCTGCCATTCCAGTCCAGGTGCCAGAGGCAAGAAAATCACAAGTTTGAGGCTAGCCTGGGCTATATAGTAAAATTCTACCTAAAAAAAAAATGCAGAACCCCAGCTTAAACTGAGATCATCATTCTCCATTTGACCCTCTACCCCAGTGTGATATCACTAACTCCAGCTGGGACCCCTGACCTCCAGATGGCAGGGTCTCAGATGTCCTCAAGCTGCATGCCCGTTCATGCCCAGGAAATTGGCCTTGATATTTATTTTGAAAATATGGTCTGGTCTGCTCCCATTTTAATAACGGAAGCAACTCTCGCAGTGTTCTATTGAATTTGATTTTGATCTGATCAAAATGCCAAGTTGCTCTAGGCCCACAGAAAGTCTTCCTTAAAATTTGTTGTGCTGTTCTGGGGGGTGGGGGGCAGCTATGGCCAAAGCCCATCTAGACAGAGCTCCCACAAGCTGCCTCTGTGTCCTGAGAATGACAGGCTCTTGCAGAGCCTTGCCTCATAGACATACCTGGCAAATCAAAAGCTTGTCCCAGGCATCAGACTTGACAGGAGCCATGAGCTGCAAACCCCAATCACCCCAGAGGATGACACAGATACCCAGATCGGATGGCAGCATCAATCCCATCAAATGTCACATCTGATGTGCTCCCAAGCTAGCTGGTGGCACTGCAAAGCCCCAAAGGCAGATCTCAAAGGCAGACTGTCCTCAGAGCAAGAAACTGTGGCAGAATCAAATCATAGAAGGACCAAGGGAGAAATAGCAACTTTGGCAATAGTTAGAAGTGAAAGAAAGTTTATATAACTCTTCATGTCAGAGTAGCTGCTCTAGGAGGAAGTTGTGGGAGATGCTCAGAGATGCAGAGACAACAGCTGAGCACCAACTGTGTGGTACTTGCTGAGCTGGGTGCTTGGGCTAGAAACATGGACAAGATAGACAGGGTGCCTTATCAGAGAGGTGAGAGAAATGGATAGCAGGGTCATAATAACATGGTGAGTCGGGGAGGGTCAGACACTGGAAAGGAAAAAACATGGCACCTGGGAAACTAGTCCACAGCTGAGGACATAAAGCAAACGCAAACCGCACAAGGCTTTAGAGAGAGGGCATCCAGCAAGTACAAAGGTCCCAGGAAGTGAAAGTGTAGCTGCTGCCTAAAGTGGCAAGAGAGAGGAAGATGGTGAGGCCAGGGTCCTGGGGCATGAGCTAGAGCCCTTGGTGAAAAGAAACATTTACAGTGCCAACCTGGGTTTCATCGCAAACTGGATTAAGTGAGGTCTCTGCTCAGCAAAGTTGCCTGGTAATTCTTCCTTCTTACTTCCGAATCAGCCATCAAAGAGCGAGCAGGCAGGAGCTTTGCAGAGCGCACACAGCAAGTGTTTAATAATGTGGCTCCCTGACACCCTCCTCCCCCATGCCTCCTGCCGGCAAGCTGTGCCCGGCAGGATCTGAGCAGCTGCTTCACGAGGAAATATTGCAAAACTCGCCCAGGCGGTTCCAAAATATTTTCTGGGCATCAACCCCACAGCCGCTAAAAGGCCGGGTTCCTGGGGCCTGGTTGCTTCTCTAGGCTGTTAGCGCTCTACTCTTGCTGGGTTCCCATCCTTAGGACCCAGCCTGGGGAGATGGGTCCACACAGACAGTTCCTCCACACTACTGAGCCTACATCCCCTCTGTTACTGCCTGACTATATGACATTGGATAAGCCCAGTCTTTTGGTTTGCTGAGACAGAGTCTCACCATGCAGTCCAGGCTGGTTTCAAATTTATGATCTTCCTACCTTGACCTGTGAATACTGGGATGACAGGAATGTGCCACCATGTCTGGCCAGAGTTATTCTTGGCCTCCTAGGATTCCTTGTCCTGTCTTCCACAGGCTGAACTGACTCAGTGAATGAGAGAGCTCATCCTCTCTAGCCCCTGTACTGTGCCCTAGGTAAGGTGCCACACCCTGATATCTCTGGCTAGTGAGGACTCCACTATGCTCTTGCCACACTGTGCAGTAACAGAATGGGCCTTGATCTCCTACAGGCATGAACGCTTGTCGAGGTCCCACAGGCCTTGCCTGTCGCTCTGCTTCTGGGGCCCAGAGGTGTCTATGAGTAGGGATGAATGAGTAAGTGAGGAAATAAGAGAGTGAATGGATGGATGGGTGGGTGGGTAGATGAGTAGATGGATGGGTGGATGGATGGATGGATGGATGGATGATGGATGGATGGATCAGTGGGTGGATGGATGGGTGGATGGATGGATCAGTGGGTGGATGGATGGGTGGATGGATGGGTGGGTGGATGGATCAGTGGGTGGATGGATGGATGGGTGGATGGATGGGTGGGTGGATGGATGGGTGGGTGGATGGATGGGTGGGTGGGTGGATGGGTGGGTGGGTGGATGGATGGATGGGTGGGTGGATGAATGGGTGGGTAGGTGAGTGAGTAGATGTATGGATGGATGTATGGATTGGTGAAAGAACAAATGAATGCCTCTTATGCATCATAGAAATGGCCTCTTTAGAGAAACGAATTCCTTCCCTGCTTTGACACAGGCATCTATCCTCAGGACTCCTGGTGGTCTCCAGAAGCCCCAGGAGCACAGCCATCTCTACTCTCTGCCCTAATGGAGGACACTGAGCAGAGGTGCTTGGGAACTGAGACTCTTTTCTTGCCTGTGAAGCCAGGATGGAGAAAGCCTTCCCTACTCGCTCCTTGGAGCCCTTGGGCACAGCTCCCTGCACCTGCCCTTCTCCAGAGATGATCTTGTTGTCTCTCAGCACCAGCCATCCAGTCCACATCCCTCCTATGGGCCTGTGATCTCCTTCTATCCACCGTCTACCTCAGAGATGCCCCATGACCCCAGACTCAAGGCTTCTTACCAAACTCTCCCATTGGTGGTGACACATGCCTTTGAAGGCTCCTCCAGAAGTTCTGTGTGACCCCAAGGCTTCTCTCTCTCTGCTCTTGCTCTAACATGTGTGCTCATGGGGGCACACCTGCTGAGTGCCAGCTAGTAACATCATGGCTTCACACTCTGGTAGCCCCCACCAGTGACCTGGAGAGTTCCTGTCATAGCCGGGACAGTATCAATGTCACTGCCCTGATGTTCTCAGCTAGAACCAATCATTCACCTCTTCCTTGAGTTCCACCCCCGTTCCAGTTTGTGATGTCTGGATCCCCTAAGCAAAACGAAGTTCAGTGGGTGCAGCCTGTAATTGTGAGTGTGTGTGTGTGTGTGTGTGTGAGAGAGAGAGAGAGAGAGAGCATGTGTGTGTGTGAAAGTATGTTTGAGTGTGTGAGTGTAAGAGACACTGTGTATGTGCGTGTGTGCGTATATATAAGTGTGTATGAGAGTATATGTATGAGTGTAAGAGAGACAGTGTGTGTGTGCATGTGAGTTATGTGAATATATGTGAGAGTATATGTGAGAATGTATGTGTGAGTGTGTGTGTGTGTGTGAGTGTGAGTGAGAGTGTGTGAGTATTTAAGAGAGACAGTGTATATGTGTGAGTGTGTATGTATAAAAGTGTGTATGTATGTGAGAGTGTGTGTGTGTGAGAGAGAGACTGTGTATGTGAGTGTGTATAAATGTGAGTGTATGAGATTGTGTGTATGAGTGTAAGAGAGACCTATGTATGTGTGTGAGAGTATTGTGAAAGTGTATGTGACCATGTGAGAGAGAGTGTGTATGTGTGTGTGAGTTGTACGTATAGGAGTGTGTATATATGTGAGACTGTATGTATGAGAGAGACCCTGTGTGTGTGTGTGTGTGTGTGTGTGTGTGTGTGTGTGTGTGTGAGAGAGAGAGAGAGAGAGAGAGAGAGAGAGAGAGAGAGACCATGTGTGTGAGAGAGAAAGACTGTGTGTATGTGTGTGTGAGTTGTGTCAGGGTCTGGTCCCAGAGGAGCCCGGTCTAATCCACTCTGACAGTGCCATCAGAAAGCTCCCAAATCTATGCTTCCATATGGTCACATTCAAGCTACCCTCTCATTCCCGAGGATCAGGGGCTTCCAGACTGGCGCCTGCAGCTAGCACAGCCCTCTCTCTACCCCCGAGCCTGAGCGCACTGCAGAGGCATGTGCGTGGACAGAGAGGCAAGAGACAAGGACAGAAGGGTCAACAGAGACCTACAGATGAGGCAGACAGAGACTCCAATGGAAGATAGATAGATAGATAGACAATAGATAATAAGAGGAGAGATAGATGAGAGGTGACGGATAGATAGATGAATGGATAGACAGACCAGCAGGCAGACAGACGCATAGATACAGAGACAGATGAGCACACACATACATAGATACATACATAGACATGTAAGTACATAGAGACAGAGAGCACTGAGGGTAGGGGGCTCAGGCTTTACATTCGGCTCCCAACACTCCTGGCCTTCAAGCATAAAGACTCAGGTATAGACTGAAGCCTCCAGAGCAGAGGTACGTGCTAACTAGAAAGGATGTGTGACCTAGGGCAAGTTGCTCTACCTCTCTGAGGCTTCATTCCCTTACCTGCTAAGCTCCCTGCCTGTGGGCGTTAGGAGTTAGGGAGTCATGGAAGACTGAAAAGCACCCATATGGAATGGAGCTGGCAGGGAAAAGCTGCTCACTGAGACGTAACTGCCTCACCTGCCATCTTTGGCAGCTCCTTCTTGTCTGATGTGAGAAACACTCCCAGCTCTGCCTCCCTTTGGTGGCTGACACTTGTTCTCATGGCTGCCCTGAATCCTTCCTAATGTGTCCGTCAGAGTGAGGCAGAAGAAGTGAATGCCCTCGGGGCCCCCAAGCTAATCTGTCCAATGTTCTTCTCCCTGCCTTGGTGAATCCCACCCAGGGCTGATCTCAAAGGCCACTGGTGAAGTTGGGCCAGGCCTGGAGCTGCCAGACTCTGCTCCCCGTCTGTGGTGTGTGTCTGGGGCAGACTGTTAGTACAGCTCCCTGTCCATCACGTAAGCACTTACGGGTGGGGTATCTCTCGTGACGGCAGGCAAGGCGGAAGTCTTCTTCTTCACTTACGTCCCCCTTCTCAATCCTGGAAAGAAACAAAAGAAAATCCCAAGGCTGGAATGAGAAGGCAGGCAGAGCAAAAGGTACCCAGGGCTGGGGATGCCAACTTTCAATGTAGCTTTCTACCTGTGGCCCACATCCTGAGATATGGGTACCACTTTTCCCATTTATGGAAAAGAAACTGAGATCTTCAAGGGACAATTGGGTTGCAAAGCAATCAGCCAACCATCCACACGGCCAGAGCTTACACACACACACACACACACACACACACACATGAATACATGCAAGAAGGGGAAAAGAGGAAGAGGATAGAGAAGGAAGGAAAGAGGGAGACAGGGACAAAGGGGGATATGCTACACACATATATAAATAAAATTAATTCCTGTCAGAAGGTTGCTTGTGGGTCCAACTTGGCTATTGCTAGGAAGTTACCCATTAGGAGTTTTAAACCCATGTGGGCCTTCCTTCCTCATATTGTATCTGCTCCTGGGCTTTAGTTCTTGAAACAACTGTAGAGCGGCACTGGCAGTTGTCATTACTAACAGCAGAGAGCATGGTGTGGTGGCTGCTGTGACCAATACAGCAATGACAACCACTGCACCCACCAAACACATAAGGAAAATGAGGTAAGGGGAGCTGGGAGCTACAGAGTCACACTGCCTGGTCACTGCTAAACTGAGGTCCACAGTTCATCCCACCCCAGTGTCCCAGATCTTCAGATGTCCAAAGCCTCACATGGATCCTGTGTTTTCCTGCTGGAGTGGACACTCAGCCCCAGAAGGCTGCAGAAGGGTGGTCAGCTATTACCCAGACCCACTTTAAGCTCAGCCCTTCCCTTTAAGATACAAGCTCTGCCACAGCCCTGCAGAGCCAGCAGATATGGGCCTGCACCGGAGAATCTGCCAGAACTGATTTTGCACAGAAACTGGCTCTTTATAGAATGGCAGCAGAGGAGGCTGAGATGGGGCATCATGAGTTTGAAAGCAAGACCCTGTTTCAACAAAGGTTAAGAGGAGGAAAGAGAAAAGCAAAGAGAGTGGGGGTGGGGGTGAGGCCCAGCAGGGCTAGGCTTTGGTTCAGGTTGTTGGGTCAAATGTTATCTCACCCTCCAAGCCTCCACTGGTCCCCACACAGTAGCTTCCAATCCTGGCTGCTCCTGGCCACAACATCCCCCAGGGACATCAAGCTCTTTGAAAACAACTGCAAATGTCACGAGGTGACCCATCTCTGATTTGAGCATAAATGTCTTTTAAAGGACAGTGTGAGCCATCACAAGAAACCCTGAAAGTGCCCTGAAGGACTGAGAGGAGCTTCACGGAACCCACACTCTGATGAGTGGCAGGTGGGAATAGGCACACTGGATGTGGCACATGTACCTTCCCGGGCCTCAGGTTCTCCTGAGTTGTGGCTCCAGCTTATACTGGCATTTAGGTCTGCACTTGTCTCCCATGTCTCCTGTCTCAGTTCTCTCATCCAGTGGGTGGGCATGTACTATCGGTTGCCTAAGGCTGTGTGTGGCCAGCACTGGGCAAACTCATCCATCAAGAGCTTCTGTCACCATTTGCCCTCATTGTTCACATAGCCAACAGTCTTCTCGTCATCGGCAACACACTCAGTGTCACCATGAAGCTTCACTTACAGGGACATGCTCCTTTGTTGCATCAGCCCGTGTGCCCTTCTTCCATCCCAGTTAGCTCTCTTGATGACTTTTGAGACAAGGTCCCATTCTATAGCCTGGCACTGAACTTAAGAGCCTCCTGCCTGGAGCTTCCTGAGTGCTGGAATGACAGGCCTTCTCTGCCTTGCCTGACCCAACAGTCATGTTTTGAAGGAAACAGAGGGAAGACTTTGATCTGTCAGCACTCTGGTGCAGCCAGGGTCAGTGGACTCACTGGTGGTTGCAGCACAGTCTCCTGCCCCAGAAGCCACTGAGTTGCTCTACCCAGGCCCAAGGGCAGTCATGGCCAAAGCCAAGAGCAGTGTCCAGACAGCAAAAGAGCCACAGGGGAGGATGGTAGTACAGAGGGGCCCTGAACAATGACACTTGGCTCTCAGAGAGGGAGCTGAGCCCAGTGCACAGAAGACCGCTGCAGGCCGAGTCTTCTCATGTGGTTAGAATGGCTACAACAAATGGGGCCAAGTTGGGCAACACAGGCAGGGACCCATCATTAGCTTTACCGAATTCCCTGCATGGCTTCCGTTGCACAATATCCCACCAGAACCATCCTCAAAGCCAGCCTCCCTTCCCTGACCCCAGGCCAGTTGTTTCCAGCCACTGCCTCCATTATCTGACTCTGTGCTTCCTGTGGAAAGGCTCTCTTCCTCTCCATTTTCAGTATGCACCCCTGAGCATGCATACCAGGTAGGCTTGAACTTCCCAGAAGCATCAGCTAGAAGAGCCTGCACTGGCTGCCATTTCTGTTCTGAAGATATTTGCAAACAGAAATGAATAATTTCACACCAGCAAACCAAAAGAAAAGAATCACACACACACACACACACACACACACACACACACACACACTAATACCACCATCAGAATAGCAGGAACTAACAATCATTGATAATATCTCTCGACAGCAGTGGACTCAATTCCCCAATGAAAAGACACAAGCTAACAGAGTGGATGCACAAACAGGATCCATCATTCTGCTGCATACAAGAAACACACCTCAGCAACAAAGATAGACACTACCTCAGAGTAAAGGACTGGAAAAGGTTTTCCAAGCAAATGGACCCAAGAAACAAGCTGGAGTAGGCATTCTAATATCTAACAGACATTCAACCAAAAGTAATCAAAAGAGATGGGGAAGGACATTTCATACTCATCAAAGGAAAAATCTACCAAGATGAAGTCTCAATTCTGAACACTTTAAGTAGTCCCTGCCCAACTTATGACCCTTACTGACCACATTGCCTCCTGGGATCCTGAAGATGGCTATCTGCTCTGTTTCACAACCCAACATTTTCCAAACTTAATGGGAACAGATATCACCCAAAGGCACATTTATGTAGATTCAGAGAGGCCGGTCTTGGGTGTAGGGTTAGATTATGCTTTTCCCATGGGCTTCATGGAGGCCTATACTGTGGGTTGCAAAATCCCAGTGGAGTCTCAGAAAAACTGCGAAGCCTGGCTTTCCCAAAATGCAGGACTTGCAGGAGGGGAGTCATGGCTCAAGACCTTCCCACAACTGCTTCTCTGCCCAGCTAGTTGATAAGAAGAACACAAGGAGTTCAGGAAGTGGCCATTTCTTCCAGATGTTGCTTCCAGATGTTGCTTCCATGTTCTCTCCATCACTTCCCACCCTAAGGAACTCCCCCCGCCCCGTCGTTCCTTCCAATGCTGGTGTGGATCGGCAGCATCAATTGGAGTAATTCAAGGGTGTTGTGATCTTCTGGGCACCAATCTATAAATCCTGGGGGACACATTCCTCCCAGGAATAACAATGTCAAAGGACCCCAACCTGGAGCAGTGCCCTTCAGAGAGCCCTGAGAAGTCCTATCAAAGCCTCCTCAAAAATAGAGCTGAGACTCAGAAACTACAGATCCAGAAGACAACCACAGAGGACAAAAACCACATTGCTTTTAATGGTCAATTAAGAAAGGGATGAAGGATAGAATTCAAAGGAATAAAAGAAATAAAGGACCTGTAGATGGTTATTTAAGATTCCATAACATCCCACCAAAAGGGCAGTTCCAAGAGAAGGAGAGCTGGATGAGTTTTAAAGATATTTTATTTTCTAATTTTTCCCCTTCTTTTGCATGATGAGTCATTTAGAATATATCAGGAAAGAGCAGTTCCCCACCATGTTCATGTTCTGGTCTTTAGGAGTGCTTTATTTTGTCTCAGTTTCTGTAGAGAAGAATGTAGATATCTTGTGAACGGCAAGAGTGAAAATACATGAGTTCTCCAGCATTGGTCCCATCAGAACACCAGTCTTCCATGCCACCTTCAAAGCCTCCACAGGCTTCCTCCTAAAGCACGACCCCAAGGACAGTGTGATGACCTCCTGATTTGTGGCAGAAGACCCTTCCACTGTCCTGAGGACTGTTCCCAAAGGGAAGGGGCACAACCAGCAGTCCAGAAGCCATGGTGCCTTGGTATGATCATGCGCTCATGCTTGGATGTCCAGAGTACAAGCAGATCAGAGACAACACCAGGGGAGGCAAAGAATGAAGCAGAACACATAGAGAGGTTGCGACATTCCCATGATGCCACGGGGACCATGGAAGTCCCATCAGTACCCTGAATGGAGAAGTGGGGCCATTATCCTGGGCACATCAGAGTGTTGCTGAGCAATGGCTACTGGGAGTCAAAATGGAACAGGTGGGGGGATTTCCAGGTTCACTCAGGTGAGTGTGAGGTGACTCAATGGGGGGATTTCCAGGTTCACTCAGGTGAGTGTGAGGTGACTCAAGCCAAGAGTGGAGGTGGGAGCTGCTGCGATGTTGATTCCTAAGAAGAATCAAATTGCCATCTATGAACTCCTTTTTAAGGAAGGTGTGATGGTCACCAAAAAACATGTCCACATGCCCAAACACCCCAAGCTGGCAGACAAGTATGTGCCCAACCTTCATGTAATGAAGGCCATGCGGTCTCTCAAGACTCGAGGCTATGTGAAGGAGCAGTTTGCTTGGAGGCATTTCTACTGGTACCTTACCAATGAGGGCATCCAGTATCTCCGAGATTACCTGCACCTTCTCCCAGAGATCGTGCCCACCACCCTGCACCCCAGCCACCCCGCACTGCAGCCACCCTGAGACTGGCAGGCCTCAGCCTAAAGGTCCAGAAGGTGAGTGGTCTGCAAGATTCACAAGAGGGGAGGCAGACAAAGACATCTATAGAAGGAGTGTTATGCCCCCTGGAGCTGACAAGAAAGCTGAGGCTGGGGCTGGCTCAGCAACTGAGTTCCAGTTTAGAGGCAGCTGCAACCATAGACGAGGTCAGCCGCCTCAGCGAAGTTGGAGATTATGTTGTATTGAATAAACTTTAAAGAAAAACAACAACAACAACAACAAAGA